CATGTTCAAATGGGTAGGGGAACAAGGGAGGGGGAATCAAAAGGGAAAAAAGAGAATGGGAGGGAAAAAAAGAGAAACAACGCTTTTGTAAATGGGGAGATGAAAAAGAGCTGAAGGGAGGGCAGAGGAATGGGGAAAAAAAGAAGAATTAAGATGTATTATGTACAGGTACAAATTTTCAATGATGAATGTGATTGTTATGTATGACAGATATGTACTAATAAAAGTGTATTCACTATTTTCTAAAATTCAAATTTAATTAGGTACCTTACGTTTTATCTGCTAACTTTTCTCAGTGGCCTTTTGTCCTGGACTTCTGTCAATCTGATTTTGGGGTAAAGAATCCACCCAGGTAAATTAAACTTAGCCATATTGACCCAACTTGCTTAGCTCTTGGCAACCGGAAGAGGGAAGGTCAATAAAGTGATGCTATTCCTTTAAAAACAATATTTCCCATGTGCCAATGCAGCTACTTATTTGTCCAGCCTTGAAGGTTTCACTTTGGTGCTATCCAGTGTGCTCCTGCACAGGCAGCTGAATCAGGGCAGGGAGCTGCGAGCCGTAGCTTTCTGTGTAGAGAAATATGCAAGGAGCCATGATGCTAGACTGAAAAACACTCTTCCTCCTCCAAGACATTACGAACAGAAATGTATTCACATTTTCAAAAATTAAAGAGGGCAAAGTATAAGGCAAACATCCAAAGGCAGAATTAGATGATATTAAAATCCAAAAAATCTTGGATATTCTACAGGTTCCTTTTACTCATTTCAAAGATACATCTTTTGCCATTAGTAAAGTGATTCTCTGAAGATATTGGACTTAGTTTTAAATGATAGTTTGCTATTATTTTTCTATAAAATTAATAATCTGAACTTCTTTTGTTGAATGAATGTCTAATGTAGATCAAGAGGAAGTGGTTAGGTAGTTAAAGTACAAGTGTAATTTATTTTTATATTGCTATGTCAGGGCTTTGTGTATGTGGGAGGTACTAGGTACCAAATAGAGAAGTGCTGGTCGTCAATAATACACACAGATAAACACATACGGGGGGGGGGGATACTGGGGGGGGCAGACAGAGAAACAGAGAGAGAGGGAGAGAGAAAGAGAGAGAGAGACAGAGAGAGACAGAGAGAGACAGAAACAGAGGCAGAGAAAGACAGAGAAAGAGAAGATTTTAAGGTAGTGGTTCATGTGATTATTGTGGTAGTTGGTGAACAGGAAAGCCATGAACTACCGGCAGGATATAGAGTAGGTGAGCAGTCTGGAGACACAGAGGAGGGTTCATATTGAATCTTGAATCCACAGGCAGTCAAAAGGCAGAATTCCTTCCTTTTCAAAGGATCTCAGTATTTTTAAGGCCTTCAATTGATTGAATGAGGTCCATATTATGAAAAGCAATTATTTTATTCAAAGTATACTATTTTAGATCTTACTCAAATCAAATAAAAAAACCTCATAGTAACATCTAGGTTGGTGTGTGATCAACCTTTTATTTTTAATATTAATATTTTAATATTTAATTATAGTTTAGAACCAGAAATTCTTGATTCACCAGTTGTCTCTTTATCCTTATTTGTCTAGGGTGTTTTCTAAACCATTGGTAAGTATTTCAATAGGAAAAAATAAAATTTTAACAGTCGTTTTGTAATTTACCTTGCCTTTTTTACAAGATATTTATTCATCTTGCTTTTTCTACAAGAAATTTGATTTTTAACATCCCTTTAACAACTACTGCATTGAAAGGGATTTCACCAATTTGAATAAAGAGGGTAAAAATGCCAACATTGAAAAATATAATTATTCAAGTTCATGAATGTTCTTCTTCAAATAATAGAATAATTTATCTGCTTTCCAAGATAGAATGCTAGAATGATTGTTTTGCTCTATATATTTAATGTTTATTTCTTTGCTTTTCCCTATGTCTTTATACTTTAAAAAATGGATCACTCAAAGAAAGGACTTAGGTATTCCTTGGGTGGATAGGTCCAGGGGAAACTACAAAAGGGTCTTTATGTCTGCCCACTTGATCTTCATTTCAGTGCTATTACTTCCCCACCTGTGTCTGAGGCAGCCACTCAGTCTTCTTATTCAAAAACTCATCTTAAAGAAGCACCCCTTTGGCCTTGCCTGTGGATCACATGGATCTGTGAGTGTCCATGCCCTATGATGCCAGTTGCTGATCTTGGATTTGTTCAAAATTTGTTGGCTAATTGGCAAGTGGGACACAGCTGGCTTCTGATTTAGACAGTGCCTTAAACCAGTTACCTCCTACCTTAACTTGATCATTTAAATGGAAAGCACTACTGCTCCAACAGAGCAGAAATGATATAAAAACCATTTCTGACATGAGTTTCTTGCCTCGTGAATTGCCATGGCTACTAGTGCCTCTGAGGGGGAAAAAATAAAATAAAAATAAGAACACAGGTTTTATGATTCTCACAAGTGGTAAACCCATTTTGCATTACTTAAGAAAAGCTTTAAACATGCAATGAGTATTCTTAGGCTAATGACAATTGATGCCCAAAACGTTACAATAATCCAATGAAATAAAATAGCATTTTGGAAAGTGGCAATTTGTGTAGAAATTGCTGATAGCATCAACACATGCTGGGAACTTTACATATAAGTGGGCTATAGCTTTGGATCGGGAGTTATTTATTTGGCCTTTCATTTGTAAATCAGACCATATTCTTTTCCCTTAGGGGAAGAGCTAGGAAGGTTATTAATATAAGAATACCAAAAGCAGTCTAGGATGCTGGTTTTATAGATCTTAGGATTTGGAGGATCTCAATAGGTCATTTAGGATGACAGCAGTCTAGTTGAAGACATCTGGATCACAAGTCCAAATATTTGGGCAGGGTCCTTATTGTATTGTCAATAGTTTATGTTTTCATGAGTCCTTACCAAAACCTGTGATCTGACCCTCTCCTGCTTACCTGCCTGATTCCACCCTCTGCTTTATCAAGCTCAATCCAAAGGCACATTTCCTTGACAGGGTTTCTGTCCTTTGCTGTTCCCTCTGATGAGAATGCTTTCCCGCTAGATGCAGGCTGATGTATTTTAAGCAGAACCAACATGTTAAAAGGTATTCTAATAAAAGCTTTCCATGATTATCCTGGTTGTTTCTAACAATATTATGTAAAGTAGATAGTGATATTTCATGGAATAAGCAAAGGAGGCAGGGGACTCAGGTAGGCTGGCTGGAAGCCAAGGCTTTAGTAGTGAGCACTCAGAAGGCACCCAAAGCCCTTGGTATGGTTCACACCCTCCTGTTAACCTCAGAGGTCTTTTGAGGGGAGAGTATCATTTTAAAGATAGAACCCCTGTGACTTTGCTTTTCTTTACTCTGCTTTATATTTCCATAGGGCACCAGATACCTTCTGACCTCATACTGCAGTTTTGTTACCTCCCCCATAAGAATATCCATGCTATAAAAGAGTGATCTTATTTTGATCCACATCTCTGTAGCCCCTGAATCCAGTTCAGCTCCTCATCTACGGCAAAGAACAAAATGTACTGAAGGAAAGCTAGGAGTTGGGTTCCAAAAATGTATCATGTTTAAAATATTTTGTTAATCAAACATTTACTGAGCACTTAGTTTTCTGGCAACATCCATGCTAAGTTTTGGAGATATGAAGGTGAACAAGAATCTCCCAATCTTCACAAGTTTGGAACATCATGGAAGAAAGAAGCAATTACTGGACAAATAGAGTAGGATAAGCATCCTGTTAGGGCAAGTGTAACACATATGGCACAAGCAGGGGTTTAGGGAGCACAGCCCTGAGGAGAAGCCCCGCTGATATCAGGAGGATGGGCTGCAGGGAGAGAGGTGGAGATGCGCGTGGAGAGCACTAGGGCAGAGGGCACAACAGAGGGTCTAAGCGCACACTGCTGTCCTGAACGCAGCTCGGTGTGACGCAAGACTTTTAAGTGAGGGGCAGGTCAAGGGCTCAGACTGCAGCAGGAGCCAGGACCAACCACTGGTGGTCAGGTGTGTTGAGAACTACTTCAAAAACTCAGTACTTTGTTGTCTCAGCAGTAAGATGCTACTAAAGGATCTTTAAATCCATGCAAGTTTTAGTATCTGATTCAGGCGAATTCCTCTAAACAGGTACATTGGCAGTGTCACCATTTTATAGATGGGTCAAGTGAGGCCCAGAATAACATACCGAAAACATTGGCAAAGTTGATCTAATTTCCCGAGGTACAGTGTTGTCAGGTCTCCTTGTGTCTGCCTGCCCTCCCTCCCTCCGGTCTTCCCTCTGTTTCTGACTGTTAATCTTTTGTTTGTTTGTTTGTCTGTCTGTTTGTTTTTTGACTGTTAATCTTGTCAAGAGTAAAACATGGAAGTATTTACCCACCACTCATTATCTTGTGCCCACAAACACAGGGGCTGTCACCCAGCGTCCAGAAACCAGTTTCCCTGAGCAGAAGCCACTTGCTTCAGAGGTGGCAGAGCTTGTGTGCAGAGTCCCGAGTGTCTGTTCTTCCCGCTTTGGAAGCTGGATACAGCAGAGACCTTTTATCTGACAAGGTGACCGGGCCGGGAGAATAGAGCCGGCCTGCCTGAGTGCCCGGGAGCCCCTCGTGGTCGCCCACGCTCCGGGCATGCGTGAGCACTCCCAGCACAACACAGCTGGCTCGTCTAATTTTAGCCTTGCTGCCTCCTTGAAAAGAGACCCTTTAAGGAAATATATTTTCTCAGAAACAATTTGTATTATAATGTAGCAGCTGATAGACATGTCAGAATATTATTATTGGTGCGGAAAAAAACTCTGCCAAGTAATTATGATTTTTTTGTGTGTTTTTTTCTTTTGAAGATGATATCAGTAAAGCGATTAAAGCATCCATGAATCAAAATAATCATAAAGAGAGAGACAATGGGGAAAAACGATTTTATTTACAGAGAAGCGTAGAAACCTAAGGGGTCACTTCTTTCGATTTTTTATAAAATAGATATAAGTACAAGTATTATTATTTCTGGTATATTAAGTTAATGAGTCCTTTCGGATCATGTGTGGCTGGGTGACGGAAGTCCTGGAGTAGAATAAAATCTCTTCAATACTCCATGTCCTCCAGGAAGTAAAACGTTAGTTTCCCAAGCAGGTCTTGGGCGCCTCTCGCTTGCCTGTGTTAACAGGTTTTGAAAGTGCCCGGACACTGTCCTCTCCATTCAGCCATCAGGGTTCGTTCCTCTGCCTTTATGACTATTATTTTCCCAGTTCTCCTCCTTCCTCCCTCATCTTCTCTTCCCTCCCGTGGTCTTCCGTGTTTTGTTTAGCAGTGCGGCTTACCTCGGAACTTGGCAAGGAAAGAAAAGAAAAGAAGGTAGCTCTGAGCGGGGTAGGTGGAGGGAGGGGTAAGTAATAATCCACCGCCCCCCTGCAACTGAGTTCTCCAGTTTCTGTTCCAGCCGCAGCAGCTTTGCTGCCAAAATCGCTTTGCTATTCGAGATAGCCAGCAGAGGGAATCGGAACTTTGCTTGCAGCAGGGGTTGAAGCCGCCTTTTTTTTTTCTTGGAGGAAATACTGCAGCCTTCTGGACTGCGTACGCCGCTCCCTGGAGAGGCTCTCTCGGTTCCACCCACTGGCTGCAAGGAGGGGAAGTGAATGAAAGGGCAGGACAAGCCCCGAACACCATGTCACTCTGGGAGGGAGACAGCAGCGACTAAGCTGTGCACGGTTTTCTTTTTTTTTTCTTTTCTTTTTCTTTCTTTTTTTTCTTTTCCCTTTCTTTTCCTTCTCTTTCTTTCTTTCTTTTTGTTTTCCTTCTCTTTTTCTTTAAGATTGGGAAAGAGACAAACAGGAGAGAGGAAGCTGATCTGCAAGGATTTGGAGTTGTGCTAAAAGGACTTTGATTTTTTTCCCCCTCTACAAACGCTGGCAATTGACATCATTACAGACAGCCTGGTTAGAGAGCAAACTGCCTCATCCCAAGTGGACCCTGGCAGCTGGGAGAAGCTTGCAAGATCCGAGGAGGCTGTCTGGCTGGGGTTTTTTTTGTTGTTTTTTATGTTTTTTGTTTTTTTCTACAGAGCCCACTCTTCACCTTCTTTTCTGGCGTGTGTTTTTGTTTTGTTTTGCTTTTTGAATTCTTGCCGTGTTGGAACTAGCGAGTGGTGGAGTCTCTGAAGCCTCATCAGTCACCGGGACTGTCAGGAATAGTGGTTTCAGAGGAAGCTCGGCCTGGGGCACTATACCCTGTCATCCAGTTCCCTGCTCGGAGATAAAGATTCCAGCTACATGGGCAAACGCCTGGACCAGCCACAAATGTACCCCCAGTACACTTACTACTATCCTCATTATCTCCAGACCAAGGTATGACTAGACCCACGGTCTGGCGATCAGTGTGGTTTGTTCTGCACTTGGGATGGGAAGCAGACAGGCATGTGAATTATTATTTAACCCTCACCCCATCATCTCTTCCTGCTTCTTTGAAATTAGTAACATACCAGTGGAGTTCACGAGGCAGAGGAAGACAGAGAAGGAAGGTAGCACACCCAGAATTGTGGCTTTCTCTTTAAGGACAGATAATAGTTTCATTGGAGTGCCTTTGTTGGTATTTGGCAGCATAAATGCTCCTGATATCTGTAAAGTCCTTTGCAAATGGGCAGGGTTTTAGAAAAGAGATCACGACAGTGATTATCGGGCATGAGAACATAATGTCAGGGGCTTTTCTGGTGAGCTGTTCTTTGTTTGTGGCTCTGAAAGGGTTTTTCCCACTGGAGAGGAGGAGGGCCAGGGTGGGGGCCACTCAAACTTTTCCTTGCTAAGTGCAGAATGAAAGAAGGGGGTGGGAAGGCATAAGGGACCTACCAAAGTCTCTTAAGGGTTTGTTTGGGTGTGTGTGTTTTTTTTTATTTTCTGTTGCCTTACAGACTTTATTTTATATTGAATGGCTAGGATGCTAGAAACTGAATTAGGAGCTTTAAAGTCGGTGGTCTTTACTTATAGACTCTATTTTTCTGTGTTAGCTGCCATCAGGAAGCCTGGGTCTTGAAAAGGCATGGAATGTAACTGATAATAATTGGACTTGAATTGGTTAAACACTTTAGGCTGTGTGTGTGTGTGTGTGTGTGTCCACTTAAATGATCATTAGGGGCCAGAAGCAAGCCCACATAACTAAGCAGTAACTAAACAGTGGGCAGTGCCAACCCCGAACTTTATCCTGCAGTTGAAGACATGAAAGACTCTCAGGTGTGAAATCACTGCTCCAATTTGTCAATTAAATTGGACTTGATGGGGGGGGGCTAGTAGTGTAGCCACAGAGAGTAGAGTGCATGGATAATATTATTTTGTGTTGCTCTAGCCAGACCCCACTGTCTTCTGAATAAATAAATATGCTGAGAGTGAATAAGGCATGCCCGACTGATATTGCTGTCACCAGGACTCGCTGATGTGATTAGGGTTTGGTAATTCATGCTGTAGTTATCTTTCATTTATTCTATCCCATCAAACAATACCTATTTGTAACTAGACTATCCAGGAGACTTTTAGCATTGCACTAAACATTGTTGCTTATGTCTATATTTTTTTTCTTTTTCAATTGCTCTGTGATCTACTCTGTACCTCCAAGGTCGACTCACGTTGCTTTTTGCCTTTGTGAGCATTTAGTTTGTGCTGCTGCTGCTTAAGTAGACCAGCCTTCCTGCTCAGTGCCTTGAGTTTTAACTCTTTGGGGGACTAGGTAGAGAATGTTGCCTGCCATTCCTCAAGGAAATGGCAAAACAAGGGGCAAGTTAAAAAGGGGAAATTCACAGCCATGTTTCATCCCTCAAAGAAACAAAAACAATAAGCTCAAGGGTTGCCTGAAAAATATCAAACATTCCATCCCCTTTACTCATTGGAGTAAATTTTTTCAAATGTTTAAAAAATCATGTTTTGTTTTGGTCCTTGTTTTCTACTGCTGTGTATATTTAGAAAAGAAATTTTAGATTGAAACGAATGAAATGATTGTTTTTCTGCTTGAGATTTCTTTTAACCTATTACTAGCAGGAAATAAAATGGTTTGCATATTAAATCAGAGATACAGGGTTCAAGATGAGTTACTCCAGAAGAAAGTGTGTGTGTTTGTTTGTGTTTGTGTGTGTATGTGTGTAATCAGAGTAAAGAAGAATGAAGTGATGAAAAAGGAAAGAGACTGAAAAAATATAGAGGGAGTTTTAAAATATTGGGTTTGGGGTCCTATGTAGTTTAGTGTTGTGTAGACAGGCAGCATCTGGATCTTGTTATTTTCAAGCCAGCCAAAGCCATCAACTTCAGGAATATTTTTAAAGAAGTTAGATCCATTAGATGTCCTGAGCTGATATTCAGGTAATTAGCTCAAGGTATTTGGGAATATAAGATCAGCTATTTTGGCTATTATGATAGTGCATATTGATTATTATGTTGTAACAATTCAACAGAGCTGTAAAGTTGTTGAATATTGTTATGGTGCCCCTAGAATGATAGACATTAATAACATTCTGGAAGATGAAGATATGAAAATGTGCCTTATTTTGAAACTTGAATTCAGAGGGAATTGGAGGAAGTGTCAATGTGCAATAATATTTAACATGTGGGGACTTTTCGACAGGGTTAATCCTATACAATGAAGCACTATCATGCTCCAGTTTAAGAGGATAATAACCGAGTTATTTCCATATTACTTTTTTGCCCCTGTTACACTTATATCCCAAAATATATTTTATAATCATTTTAAAGGAAGTATATGCTACTTATATTTATTTGGTAAGCTTGGATGGAATTTTAAAAATCCACTGGTCTAAGCTTGGCTTGTATTTTTAACTCAGTTTTAAAATCATAGCTATTTAAAATAATGCTCATAAATAAAGAATACTTGTGGTTGATAAAAATAGATTTCTATGGTCAAAAAACCATATTCTGGTTTATCATACCTTAAAGTGTTATCTAAATATGGTGGGGGGTTTTTTCTTCCCAACGCACAACAGATATTTACTGAAATTTGTTGTTTTTGGTTTTTAAGTTTTGCTTCATTTTCAGTAAGGGTTATCTATAGGATATTTAAAGAATTAAACTATAGTTACTTAGAAAATGCAAAACACTGAACTTTCTACTTAAATAATGTGGTGTTCTATACAACTGTTATATTTATGATAAAGCAGAATGGCAAAAAAGAGTTAAAAATAAAAGCAAATGCTTTTCATTCTTTCAAATACATATTCAAGTTTTGGGGAAACTTGACACTTCTTTGCCTTCTCTGCTTCTCTTTCCCATTACATTACAAGCAGTCTCTTAATTGTGCTTGAATAATGGAAATAAAATATTTATGTATTAAGCTTTTGAATTATTTTCCAAATACTCAGAGGGTTTGTGTTAAAAAAATCTATATGTAAACTAAACAACATGCACGCTTGTTGACTTGTAGCTGATTGGTACCAATATTGCTATGGCCTGCTCACTCTTCCATACCTCTCATCTTGAAAGATTTTGTTAATTTCCTTTTTGACTAACACTTTTCCTACCAAAGTAAAGTAATTTCAAGAAGGAATGCTTTTTTTGTTTTGTTTTGGTTTTGGTTTTTTGGCATCAGGGATCGAACTTGGGACCTTGCGCTTGCGGGGCAGGCGCCGGAACCACTGAGCTAAATCCCTGGCCCAAGAAGGAGTGCTTTTTATTAAGACTAATGAGAGATGTTAGTGACATGTTATATTATATAAGAGGCATGACTTGATTAAAAGCAAATTTTTAAAGCAAATTGCTATTTGCAGGGCTAGTCAGAATAGTCAGAACTTTTTAGAGAAAAGGGGTCCCCAAAATAGTTTCATGACAAAACACAAAATGATATTTGGTAACTTGTAACCAAACATTTTCAATTGTACCAAAAACCAACCTGGTTGGTGTTAGATTATGAAGGCTCAGTTAAATTGCACTCTGAATTTGAAATACTTCAGCATAGTTTTCCTGAGAACAAACTAGTTTTAAGAGGAAAATTAAGAAAGAAAAAAAAAAAGGTAAAACAATAGTGAAAGTCTGATGAACTGCTATCTTTCAGTTTAAAAACAGACGTTTCTATCATATTTGACAACTTTCAGCCATCTTCATAAACTTAAGACATCACCCCAGCACACAAGCAAGTTTCTTCTTTTCCACACCAGCTTACTGTGTCTCTCCCAACACATGGCACAGTTTCTAACCCTGGTGCTCCTACATCTCTATTGCATTCTCTTCTTCTGGCTCCCCAAAAGGTCCTGAACTGAGGGATTCAGATTAGGAGGGCCCTTCCAGATTTTTATCTTCTTGGTACCTATGTTGAGACCCTTGCCTATAGAAGGGGTCAGGTGTAAAGAGTTATTCATCAACTGTGCGATGATTTCAGGCTGAAGCTTCACCATCTGCAGCCTGGACTGCCGCCCAACTCTCAAAAGTGTAGCTGGAGTCCAACTGGCTGTGCACAGAAAGCGCAAACACTTGAAAACACAAGAAGAAGCAAGTAGTAGGAAAAAACAAAAGAAGGCGCTCCTTCGGGGGGTAAAGGGACAAAAGATATTCTTATAAAGATGTGAACATTCAGATCCTTCCAAAGCAAAGTAAAACAACCCATAGCCCACTCCTTCAACATGGGAATGTAGAAAATCTTGTTGAGGGAAAGAATAAGTTTAAAATTTCCTTAGTACTTCCTGCCTCAGATTCGCATTGATAGCCACAGTTGGTAACTTGCCAGTTGTTTTAAACCAGACTTAAAAACTCCCAAGTTCTGTTTTTCTTTAAAACCCTGAAACAAACAAAACTGGTTTTCTAAAATTCTTCCAGCGATCAAATTTTTAGGTTTAACTCCTAATATTTTCTTTTGCTTTAGGCAAAACAATATGATAGCATGAAACTGTGATAAATCTTGTTTGTCTCATTTTAGAATGTATAGAATTTTAATTACCTTTAAAGACAAAAATAGAAACATAGAACCACTCCTGTTATACTTTGTTTATTTACTCTCTCAGATCTTCATGTGGAACACATTTTGCTGTCTTTTTTTATGATCTAGGCATTTTTTTATGATGTAGGCACTTCACAACATTAAGTTTGGTGACTACTTAAAGTAAGTAGAAATGTGGAAAGTTTGTTTTGTTTTTTCTTTCCAGAATAAATCCAAAGTTAAGAGAAATACCATGTATATTTCTTTCAACAGCATCTTTTTAAAGCATTTTCCTTTCACTTTCTTTCAACCTGGAAAAAAGAAAAACAGAATTATGTAACACATAGTTATTTCCATGAAGTAATAAAGTCCATTTGAAGGCTGGGGCAGGGGCACTTTGCAGGGTGGGGTGCAAAAAAAGCAGAAGGGATGCTGCAAGTTGATT